TTCTGAAAGTCCTTTGAATTCTTTTTTTTTTCCCCCCTTTTAATACCGGGGATCAGACTCTGCTCCTTGCACTTGCGAGGCAGGTGGAAGAGGCTTGAATTCTTAATTTTTTCTCAAAAACCTATTTGAACTTGCTGAGTGTTCCCACTAAGATCAACACAGGAGTCAAATAAAAGTAAGCAATAAGTGAGTTCAGCAGGATGCTTCAAGTAGTTGTGTGTTCCAGTGATGGGCATTTTCTCACCCCGCTGTGTCCAAGTCCTAGACGTAGCTGCCCAGGTTGACTCCCTTCCGCTCCCAGCTTTACTGCTGATTGACAGCTGGTCACGGAGGGCGCAGCTGAGCACCAGACTCGCCATTCCAGTGTCATTAGCTTTGCCTACTGTGGGCTGTGCCTTCCCCTTCCAGAAACCTCTGTTTGCTTAAAGAGAAGCAGGAAAATGCCGATTGCCCTATTATAGTATAGGATTAAAATACATGCAGTAAGGACCTCATGGGGCCCAGCTGCTGGCTGGCTTTTCAGTCCAAATAGAGAAGAAGAATGTGCGCTATCTCTTTGAAAAATAAAGGAACTGTGCTTGTTGCTACACGAAGGGAGCTGCCGGCAAGAGTTTATCTGTATGAGGCATGAGGAGACATAAACTAGCTTTTGATTCTTTTAGTTATGAAGTCCTGGATCTGTGTTGAACACCATTATAAACAGTGTTTATTAAGGTTTCATGCCTTCTTTGTTTTTGGTGGTTGTGCTGGTCCTCAAACCCAGGACCTTGTGCATGCTAGGCAAGTGTTCTACCACCAAGCCACACCCGCAGCCCATTTATTAAGGTTTGGAAGTCATAAACCTAGCTACTTTCTGCTCTGGAGGTCTGGATTATCAAAGGGGAAGTGTCTTTTATGCCTAGCACCAATTGGTTAAGTTTAAAATTGCCCTAATTTGGGCCAGGGATTTAGCTCAGTGGCACTGTGCCTGCCTGGCAAGTGCAAGGTCCTGAGTTCAGCCAGTAACCTAAATGAATAAATAAAATTGCCCCATTTCTTTTATTCATTATTATTATTTTTGGTACCACGGATCGAACTCTGGTCTTTGTGTTTACAGGCAGGCGGCAGAACCACTAAGCTAAATCCCCAGCCTGAATTGCCCCGTTTCTTGAGCTTGCTGGTTTCAGATAGGTCTAAAAGAACCAAGCTACCTGGTGTTGCGTTCTTTTAGTGGAGATCAAAATGTGGCTCTAGTAATCATGCTTTTATTTGCCTAATGGCCTTCTAGTTTGATCCATTGTTATATACTGTTCTTAGCAAATTTGAAGTAGGATCAGTGGAATTTTATTTTTTTTTTTTTTTTTTTTTTTTTTTTTTTTTTTTTTTTTTTTTTTGACAGGGTCTCACTATGTAGTTGAGACTCACCTGGAACTCACTGTGTAGCCCAGGCAGGTCTCAAAATCACAGCAATCCTCGTGCCTCAGCCTCCCAAGTGCTGGGATTACAGGCGTGCGCCACCATGCCCGGCTACTTGCTTTTTTCTTTTTTTTTTAGACAAGGTCTTTCTCTGTAGTCCAGGCTGGCCTTAAAGTCACGCTGCTCCTGCCTCAGCTTTCTGAGTGCTGGTGCTGAGATTACAGGCAAGAGCCACCATGCCCAGCTCTGGACTTTACTTCTAAATAGACTTTCTTTTTGAGATGTAGATTTAAAAACTAATTAGATTAGAGCCAACTGTAGTGACACAGCCCTGTTACTCCAGCACAGAGCCCAAGACGGGAGGATCTCTAGTTTGAGGCCATAAGGGAGTTCAAGGCCAGCCTGAACTATACAGTAAGACCTTGTCTCAAAAAAAGTGGAGGAAGGGAGATATAGATTAGAAAACATTTTATTTGGGTTTGTTTGTTTGTTTCTATTTTGAGACAGGGTCTCACTATGTAGTTGAGACTGACCTGGAACTCACTGTGTAGCCCAGACTGGTCTCAAACTCACAGTGATCCTCCTGCTTCAGCCTCCTGAGTGCTGGGATTACAGGTGTGCGCCACCATGCCCGGCCTAGAAAACATTTTAAAAGAGCATCAAAGAAAAGAAAGAAAATACAGTTAGTGGAAAGTATAAAACCATTTAATTTTTTCTATTTCATTATATGTGAGTTCTGAGGATATAGTGAATATTTTGCGAGTGTAAATCTGTTGAATATTAGGTGGTATTGTTACTCTTTTATTTTCTTTTTTTTTGTACCTGGGATCGAACTCAGGTCCTTGCACTTTGTTACTTTTTTCTGTTCTTTTTTTCTTCTTCTGGTACCAGGGATCGAACTCAGGACCTTGCGCTTGTGAGGCAGGCATGGTGCCACTGAGCTAAATCCCTGGCCCTGTATTTCTTTACATGCCTATTTTCTGCAGTTTTTTGTTGTTTTTTTTTTTTTTTTGGTACCGGGGATCAAACTCAGTACCTTGAGCTTGCGAGGCACCACTGAGCCCCAGCCCTCTGCAGTTTCTTTGGGGGTTTTGTTTTTGTTGTTGTTGTTGTGTTTTTTTGAGGAAGGGTCTCACTGTGTAGTTCAGGCTGGCTTCGAACTCACAGCAGCTCTCTTGCCTCAGTCTCCCAAGTGCTGGGATTGCAAGGGTGTGCCACCACGCCCAACTACAATTTCTTTGGTGATTGAGCCTGCAGCTCTGTTACTGCAGTGTCAGCATTGAGATGATTTTAACTTGTTCCTTCCCCTGACTGAGGTTACTTGGTTTAAGTGACTAAGCACACTGCTTTCAATGCCTCATCTAGTTTTGTGATTTGTGATTCGTGATTCTTTGTGTAGACAAAGGGTCTGACAGGTGGGCCAAATTAAGAATAATAAAAAATGTGTTACTCCCAGAACTCATCTGTGTCACAGAGGTAAAGTAATTACAGCAGTGGCAGTGGATGAGTTAATTGTAGCATTTCCCTTTTTCTGGACATGAATAAGTAGTGTCCTAGTTCAGAAAAGAGCTTAAAAATAGGGGTATGCTAAACTGCACCTCAAATAGGTGAGCAGTAGCCGAAGCCGTGTACTGATGCATTGAAGCTCCGAATTTCTTTTCCCTTTGTCCTTTGTTTTATGTGATATTTGATGCTTGACTCCTCTCTACTGGGGATTGAGCTCGGGGCCTTCACACTGAGCTACATCCTCAGTCTGCCCTTTTTTTGGAAATAGGGTCTTGTTCAGTCATTAAGTTGCCCAGGCTGGGCTTGAGCTTGAGATCCTCCCACCTCCACCTCTCAGAGTGCTGGGACTGCAGCTCAGCACCACCGCACCCAGCAGCTTCAACTGTTAGTTTCATGATGAAAATTGAGAAGCCTTTTTCCCCTTCTGGCAGGCATGAAGTGGATGGAAAGGAAAGCTTTGTTCGAGCCTCTTCCTGAAATCTAAGATGATAAATGCATGATTAAGGGACTATGGTCATTTTTTACAAAGGACAGAGCCTGAATGATTCTCCCAGTGAGAGGCAGGATGCATAGCTCCCGGCTCTCACACCACTCTTCCAGACTCTAGCTTTGATCTTTTCAGTTTTAGGGGAATAGCTTTTCTCACAGTTGTTTGCCTCTTTTTCTTACAGATAGTACCCAGTGATGTCAATATAATCATCTAATCAAAGGCTCTTTTTGAGACCTTGGTGCATTTTAAATGTTTCTTATCGGGCTGATTTTCTAGCACGCCTTGGGAGCTTTTGGATACACCTAAGGTCTTTTTCTTTTTTTCCTGTTTTGGATTTTTTGGAGACATGATCTTAACAACTTTGTTGGCATTGAACTCACTATGTAGCCCAGGTTGGCCTTGAACTCTCATGGATCCTCCTGCCTCAGCCTCCTGAGTGCTGGGATTACAGGCGTGCCCCACCAGGCTTGGCGCACACGTAACGTCTTAATAATTTCCATGCTTTTTCTTTGTGTTGCTTTAGGACCAGTCCAAGACCATACTATTAAATTCCTCTGGCTGCACTTTGGAATTCATAAAAATAGTGTTGCTTCAGTCACACTATTGGTCTTTCTTTATGTGTGATTACTTCATGGCATTAAGATTGTTTTCACATGGCCGGGAATTTAGCTCAGCGGCTCGGTGGCCTGCCCTGCAGGCGCAAGGACCCGAGTTCAATCCCCGGTACCAAAAAAAAAAAAAAAAAAAGACTTTTCACAGCTGTTGTCATTGTGTTTCATATAAAGATTGTGCATTGAGTTGTTCTTCGTGTTTCTTTTGGAAACAAAAAAGAGGGCTGGAGGAGAGGGCTGGGAGGACACAGGGTATCTGTTAGCACCATCTTTGCCTTGCTCTAGAGGATGATGATGCAGATTTGGATTAATTATGTAGTTGTGCTGAAATTTCCCTTATTGAGCATCCTTAATTTGATTTTTTTGTGCTCTTGCTAGAGTTATACTATCACATTTAATGACATTGTGAGTTAGCTTAGTCAGAAATAACGTTTTTATACTTTTCCTCTGGGCCTTCTTTAAAGGATAATGTAATATTGATCAAGAAGCTGGTTATAGAAATTGATGCCTGGTAACAGAGTTGCTGAATGTATAGAATATTGGAGGAGGTTTTTTTGGTGTTTTTGTTTGTTTGCTTGGAGATAGGATCTTCCTATGTAGTCCACGCTGGTCCTCCTGCTCAGCTTCCTAAGTGCTGGAATTATAGGCATGCGCCACCACACCTGGCTTGAGTTTTTAACAGTATGCGCTATCAGCTGGACGTGGTAGTGTACACTCCCAATCCCAGCTAGTTGGCAAGCTAGGGCAAAAGGATTGCAAGTTTGAGGCCACCTAGGCAACTGCAGACTATGTCTCAAGAAATAAAATGTCGGGAGATGTAGCTCAGTGGTAGAGTTACTTGCCTAGTGTGCATAAGGCCCTAGATTCAGTCCTCAATGCCACCCCCCAAAAAAGGGAGGGAGGGAGACAAAAGGGAAATAGAAATATGGGCTATTGTTAAATTACTGGAGCGGCCTCAGAATTAAGCAGGAGTTGCTCATTTGTTGCTCTCTTTCTAGGTGCGTGCTATTATGATGCTAATCAGTCTATGTATGTGTTTGGAGGTTGTACCCAGAGCAGTTGCAATGCTGCCTTCAATGACCTCTGGAGGCTTGACCTCAATAGCAAAGAGTGGATTCGACCTTTGGCTTCAGGTAAGAGATGAGATGCTGATTTCTGTCTTTTTAGAGGCTCTATTAGCATTGAAACTATTTGACCCTTTTTGATGTTGATTCCAGGTGTAAGTCCTTTCTCAGATCAGCTGTATAAATGTAAGAGGCTTATCTAAGTCTTTGAAAACAATTTAAAATTACCTTTTATCATTAGTATTGGCATCCGGCCAGAATCACTCTGCTGTGTGAATCCATTTGTGTGGTTTTCTCAAGTACTTGTACAAATGTGCTGTGCTGTTGGGTAGGAGGCTGAAGTAAGAGCAAAACCAGAGCCCTGAGAATAGTTGGCTGACAGAAGCTGTTGTCCTAGGGCTGAGGACTCTGCACAGCTTGTTTGTGCCAGCTCAGATACTTGGGAGTGTGTGGGACAAGCCTCTGCTG